ACGAGTATGAATTCCTGACAGGCATCCAAGAGCAGAGGCATCGTGCATGTAGAAGAAAGAACGGCAACGATCGTCAACGCAGGATCGGCACCCTCCACTGATTCTCGAATCGCTTCTGCATCTCCCGACCCTCGAAGATGCTGCACGTCCGCTGGAAGCGCGCGACCATGTGCAGGGGCACGTCGACCCCACCTTCGACAACCAGTACGACCGCGTCACACGACGCTTCTATCCCGCGCCTCTTTGACCAGGTCTTCTGGCTCTTGATCCCCTTGATCTGGGTATCGTCAAAGACCTTGAATGTCACTTTGCCGTCGGCGGGGAGGCCGTGTTTTAAGAGGACGGCGTTGCCGGAGATCTTGGACATCTTGCCCCGAGTGCTGTATGCAAATGCGGCGGTTTAGTACGGGTCCTGGGGGGGCCAGCATGCTGGGATTTTCCAACCCAGGGGGTCAAAAGGCTAAAAACTAAAGGGTCAGGACCCACCTGTTCGGATCGAGGTAGCGATGCTCCAGCACGTCAACGAGCCAGGGCACCCCTTGCTGGACGGGGAGGATCCATCTGGTGATGACCACGAGCTGGTTCTGCTCCACCGCCATGTTCGCAGCCAGGGCGTCCAGCCCGCCCTTGGTCCTGGTCATCCATTTCACTGTACTGATGGTGCCGTGGCTGCCGCTCATGAGCTCCATGCCCTTTATGGTTGCCTTTGTCTGCAAGTTCAGGTCCTGTTTGCCCCAGTCGTGCCACTTGCCCGTATCGCCCCATTTCTTGGCCATGATTCGGTGCTGCTCTTCCGAGTACAGCGGGAAAAGCGGGATGTGAGCCAAGTGGGCATAGCCCTCGCCGTATCCGCCCGTCGTCTCGCCTTGCTGTGGGATGCCTCGACTAGCTACCTTGCGGATGTAAGCGTCGATGCGTTTGCCGGGTAGTTTGTCGAGGATGGAGGAAGCGGATGGATCCTGCGACTCGATAGTGTCGACAATCTGATCCGCCATGATTTTGGGCTTGGGCACAAACGGCAGAAAGTTCAAGATTGTTAGTAGCAGGTAACATGATCCAGAAGAAGGAGAACCCGCATGCTCAGAGAGGCTGCGCAGTTGATGTATTTTGCTCGCAGCGGCTGAGACTGAACCAGGGAAGAGCTAATTGTGCCGGTTGCCGCCCTCACTAGAGCTACAAGTAGACATGGTGGTTGTCGGTGGGATGGATGGTCTGTAGCCATCGCCTATTCTGACCAAATCCTGCACAGTCCCCAGGGCTTCAGCTGGAAAACGAAAGGTCCAAAACCTTCCTCACGCACGTTTGTCCACTGTTGTGCCAATAAGCTTTGTCTTGAATACGAAGAAGACCGGTCTCGATCCGACATCAATCAGGTAGCCTCACGCCTCCGCCCTATATTCTTCGCCGGCCCCCAGGTATTAGTGCAGGAGGCGCAAGGCAGGGAACCCTTGGTGTCTTGGCATTCTCGTGTTGCAGGTCGGGATAGAGGTCGAGAACCGTCGATGCTCGCTAATTAGACTCATACAAGCATTCAGCGATGAAAGCTCGGCAAGGCTTCGGCTGGGAGAGTGGCAGGCTAACTCGACTGGTCAATAGGTGGACGCACGGGGGCGGGAAAATCCAACGTCAGATCATCTGCTCTCAAAGCGCAATGGCCGACCGGAGTGGTCGCCGTTGACGTGAAAGCTCACCTGCCCTGCCTGCCCAGAAAGTGACATGATCACGGTGGTGAGGGGTTGGGTTTTGTTTTGGCAAGGAAGAGACGAGTTGAGGAGTGAAATTTAGACAGAATAGATATAAAAGGCACGTAGAAGGATAGAATGTCTGGAAATAATCTCAGAGTTCATTTTGCGCACAACCAACCAAGCACACAACCTGTCGTACCACTCAGGCAGATAGGTAAGACTCTGAGTGCATTAGAGATAGGAAGTTACGTCGACATATCTATAGCTGCCTATAGAGACAAGGTCTCTAGGGAGAAGAGAGAGAGGAAAGAAATGTAACCTTGAATATGAAACCCGGGCAAATTCATTGAGAGAACAACCGGGCGATTAACGGCAGGTCTTGAGAAAACGTTAATGTTCCTCATCCTTCTGGGACTTCGTATTCATTATGATGAAAACCACTTCGAAAGCAACGGGACGTGAGTGCCGCGAATGTGAGCCGCCAAGCTGAAGTCCATGGAGAAGGAAAAAAGAAAGAGAAGAGAAAAGGGTGGTGGAAGTGAAATTTATCATAGAAAGTGCTAAAACTGGGCCAGTGCGCCTCCGTAGTTGCTAGGGTGGACCATATGTGTACATTTGTCAATTCATCCGTTTATTCAGTGTCAACTCACGTGTCCTACTGTGACTAGTGACTCCTAATACTACCTAAGGTACTCGGTTTATACTAGCCCAAAAGAGCAATTCTCTTTCCCTTAGTGTCATGCTCGTTTGTTGCACGTCTCCATCTCCGTCCGGCAACTTACAGACCGCTTCAGCACTGTGCATCAAGTACACGTTGTTTGCCTGGCCCTTTCCAACAACCAGTCAGCTGTGCACGTCTTGGTCCTGTTCCCGTCCTGAACTTCGACCAGAATGTTCCCACCCAGTTTCACTCAGGGCACAGTTTCATAAAGTTCTGGAACCTGATATCAGCCCCGTCCACGTCGCGCTCCTTCTCCTCAAACAACATGTCCAAGATCGCTTCACGCAGCATTTGGCTGTGCTCCTGGTACTCCACCCTCGGTTCCTCGGTTCTAAATAAACACATCTCGATCACATGTTTGATGGCTCCATCTTTGCTGGGATCCCAGACACTCTCGAAACGATTTGCAACCTCTTTCAACCCTTGGAATGGTGATTTCTTTCTCAACGCCCTATACGCCACCATTGCGGCAGCTTTCGTGGCCACTTCAGTCTTGTTGTACGCTGACTTGATGTTGCTGCCGATTCCGTTGTTGGCATACTGCACTTGTAAATTGAACATATTTACAGTCAGAGGCCGGATGACTTCGAATCGGATTGTGAGAGTTTTGAGCAAGAGGAATGCCGGGCATTGTTGAATGAGCGAAAGGATGGACGTCGACAGAACATTGCTGTCAATGTCACATAGCGTCGGACCGGTGCCTTTCCGGACGAACGAGAGATGCTTGATCCTCGCCGCTGTGCTTGCTCGAAGGCCTTGAATGCCGTTGGGAAAGAAAAAATCACTTGGCTCTGCCCCGACGAAGGTGTTCTCGCCATACAGAATAGTTCGGGCTTCGCGGTAAACTTGACTGTTGGTCTGGAGGATCTTCGCGTTAAGATCTGGGTTCAGCTGGCGGAATGTGTCATTGCTGTCTTTGTCTGGAAAAATGACTGATCTTTTGGCCGGGACGAGCAAGAAGCGGTAAATGAGCTTCCGTGCTTCGAGTGGCCATTCGAGAAAGTCGATTTGCTTCAGTGGTGGCCGCTCAGAGAATTGGACCGAATGGATATGCTCGTCAGAAGCGCTGGGGTGGGTTAATATTCGATGCAGATTGTCGTTCATGAGCCCAAGCTCTGCGGTGAAAGCCCCCACGGCGCTCATCCCAGCATTTTTTGTACCAAGCGGATGTCGAGAGTATAAAGGAGTTCGAGAGCGTTGAGGGTGGAATTCTGGAGTGTTCTTTCTTTTCCTCACTCTCCCTTGTGCGCTATTGCCACGACGGTCTTGTGTGTCTCTTCCTCTCTTCTGTGCGTCGCCGACGCCATATGAGTTCTTCTGTATGACTATCTTGCTTTTGGAGTCGTGGTATCCGTGTTGGGGACAAAGCGAGGTAGCCAGCTCCGACTCGGCTCGGTTGGCGCAGATGCACTTTTGACTTGGAGCGTACTTGAGGCTGACGAAAGAGGCAGAAGGGGCTGAGAGCGCGGTGTCATCATCGTCCGGCGGTGTTAGGGGAGGTGGGGGAGACGATGTTAAGGACATGATGCATAACAGGATGTGATGCCAGGTCAACAAGGACAGTACTCATGCAAGGATGACAGCCACGACACTGGATAGAAACAAAGTCGAATGAGATGAAAAGTGAGAAAAGCGCGGGTGCGACATGATCAGATGCACTGCGTTGTCCGTCAAGGTCGCCAACGCGTCGCGAACCTCAGCGTCCTCCTCTCACAGAAATCACAGCGAAGCCTTCACAGATCGGCATACCTGACAAGAACAGACAGTCTGTTGAGAGTCTTCTCATCTGGTTGTGCTTCGTGGCAGCCAAATCCAACCAACCCACCGCTCCTCCAGACGATCGATGACCATTACCTGTCGTTCGCGCAATACCCTCTGACGGGGTTCTTCATCTTACTTAGGATCACAAGTCGACACACAGAAAGGGTGCTCGTTCACAAGACGACGTGGTCTCTTCAATCACAAAAACCTACGGATGGTTTGTCATAGTGCCCCCCAGAAGTATTGCACTTTTTACCTTGTCGAAGGTGAGCAACGACAACGGCATGTCTACCTCGATCCATGCCAGAGCTGTCGTCTTTCTCATATAGATAGAGGAACGCAAGTTTGGCCGCATGTCCATACCATGGACGAACAGTTCATCTGTCACATAAATGCCACTTGAATGCATTCATGATCGATAAAACAATCTGAGGAGCACCTTGTTTGTCCTTGGATACCGTGATCTCCTATTCCGATTGTCACATTCTCTTTCATAGACGCCCAAGCAAGTGCACCGCATGCAGTCATTCCGCATGCCTCAATGCAGATATTTCCTTGTTTCCGTCAAGCACCGTATGGAAAATCTTCAAGTAATCGAAACCTCCTTACGTTGGGTACAAGGTACCTTCATAAGCCAGTGTGCAAGTCCACAAAGCCGCTGATCAGCCGCAACCAATCAAAGCCACGACAAACATAATCCAGCCCTCAACACGTGATATGCCAAGCGATTGCCTCGGAAAGCGGATCGACATCGTGCCAGTGAAACTTGGAGCTTCAATCGACAGACAAACAGACACAGGACGCTCCCACCACCGACTACAGCAGCAGCAGCCATGTCGGTCAACATGTTCTCCCGCAGGGCTCTGCAGTTGACGACTCGGCGACGTAAGTAACCTTCCTCACACCCCGACGCGATGTGATATTCGAAGGCAACTGACTTCTGCGCTGGATTGACAGTGGCCGCAACCCACCCCTCCACTGCCCTGCCCAGATTATCTGCTCCGGCAGCCATAGCGACCCTACAGAATATCCAGTACAGGTCAGTACCCTCTCACTAAGATCGTCACGGATTCACCACGCCTGGGAAAGAAAGAGGTGGTTGGACAAAACATTTGCCGGCTTCATCCAGATTCTACATTCAACACCTCCAGAATCCCCGATGCTATACTGAAATACGGTTACTGACTTTTCCCTTCTTCTCCTTCACTATCACCCAGACCAGCAACAACACAAACAGTATCCCAAGCCAGCGGTCAAGAAATCCTCGCCAACCAGCGCCTCCACCGCCCCGTCTCTCCGCACCTCGCAATCTACCGCCCTCAAGTCACCTGGTACCTGAGTGCCCTGAACCGCATCACGGGTGCTACGCTGTCCGGAGGAATCTACGTCTTCGGCGCCGCCTACCTCGTCGCCCCGCTGTTCGGCTGGCACCTGGAGTCGGCCAGTCTGGCTGCCAGTTTTGCTACCCTGCCCATCGTCCTCAAGGTCGCGTTGAAGGCCTTCGTAGCGTTCCCGTTCACGTTCCACGGTTTGAACGGCATCAGACATTTGGTGTGGGACACGGGCGCGGCGATCACGAACCAGCAGGTCATATGGACGGGATGGACGGTCGTTGGTCTGAGCGTGATCTCTGCCCTGGGGTTGACTTTCTTGTGAGAGCTTGGGGAAATGTCGGGACTTCGCGAAGCAGATACAGTAAGAAAGGGTGTACATGAATAGCGTATCATATTCCTCAATGAGACTGTGAAAAGAATTATGTATGGGCTCAAGGTAGCCGTAAGGGCGGCACCATCGACAGTTCTCAACCACCAACGCTTCGTTGCAGAAGACCATCAATTTTCCAAGTCAAACTTTTCCATGAATCTTTGACGTCGCATTACTAGCCAAGGGTAGGGCCCTATTCATCCACATACGTTGCCCCGTCCCTCAGCTCGTGCACGACACTCGCACTCCTCCTTCGGTTGTCATCCACATACTTCGTTCCGTCTCTCAATTCATGCACGAGGCTGGGTGACTTCCTGAGTCTTGCACTTCGCCGTGGAGTGAACGATGTTCCGGGCTCTGAAGGTGCGGTGGAAATGGTCGATCCTCTGCGTCGGTTGGTTTTGTCAGCAAGAGGAATACTCTGATCCCAGTCATCCCCAACCATGGCCACGTCTTCATCTCCCTCGTTACCCAAATTGTCCGTCTCATTGGCCCTTCGACGATTCAATGGCTTTACAGGGGCACTGACGGTTTCGCTGTCATGCTGAAGGCTGTCAGTCGTGCTCACTTGTTCCGGGGAAACCTCGTTCTTGTCTGTGCTATTGTCAATCTTGTTGTGATCGCGCGCTTCAGTTCCTGCGGTCGAGGACCCTGGAGCTTCGAGAACCTCGCGTCCCTCGGAGAAAATGTCGCTCGGATCGGCGTTTCGACGTCGGGTTGATGGGGGGACTTTACGACTGGGTGGGGGTAGATCTCCGGCCCTAAGTGGACTGCGAGGGTTGGAAGAGCTGTTTTCGACCTCCTGATGCTTTGCTTGTCCTGTTATCGTAGGCTCGATACCGAACAATTCCTTTCCACTCTCATTCCACCAGTCAAACAAAAGCTTGACTCGGCTTGTCTCACGGTCTCCGTACTCGAGAGGAGGGCCAGAGACAACTGCCTCTGGCAAAGCCATTGCCGAATCGGACCTGGCTCCAAACACTGCCCATGAAGATGTGTCATTACTCACAAGTCTGAATTGTCTGTGAAAAGTCTGAACCTTGAAGTTCCTCAAGATGACAACATCACCGGAGTGGACCGTGGGAAGCGCTGTCCGAACAGGTCGAAAGACTTGAGCAGATATGACCGAGGGTGTCTCAGAGGGAAGCGAAGGATCCGAGAGTTGCAGGATAGTGTGATAGTCCTTCCGTCCTGCTTTCGATTGTTCGGGTTCTGACGAAGAGTCTGCACATACCGCAATAACATCGACTAGTTGACCAAATTGTTCATGCAACGAGCGTAAGGGGGTGAAGTAAGCAAGTGGGGTGGTAATGCCTGAATCTTCGCTGTAGACCAAACCATTTGTCCTGAGAGGCCTGGATACAGACTTCATATCATGGGTAGCCTGTTTGGCCTCTTGAAGTCCTACTGATAGCAGAGGTGCTTCAACCTGGCCAAGCTTCGGTGATGGAAGGAGAGCGCTGTCGCCTTCAGCGGGATTGATGTTCTCCTTTCTGGGCGGTGATGATACAGATTGTTCGGTGGACTTGCCAGGCTTAACATACGGACTAGATGAAATCTCTGCCATGATGGACTTTCTTGCTGATAATCGTTGAGAGCTTCGACGAGGTGTGGCAGGATCTTGATGCGATGTGGAAATAGGCGTTGTGAACGCAGGGCTACTACTTACCTTGGTACGTTGCTCGAGGGGCGGCTCTTGGATGGGCGATTCCTTCTGAAGTTCTTGCGAAGAGTCTTCTTGCTGAGCACCAGCTCTTTCCTCTTGCGCAGCCAGACTCGCTTCGCTTCGTACAACCTCTATAGGCTGTGGATCTTCCCATACAACTTGACTCTTCTCCTTTCGTATGGCGAGCACAGGTTCTTCCGAATCCCCGTCTATCTCCTCTTGAGTATGTTGGGGTGACGGGAATCCAACTTCGAGCGACTCCTGAACTAGAGTCGGCGTTTCCGGCTCAGTCGAGGAACGCTGCACCTGGGACTGGTCCGGTGTTGGTAGCTGTCCACGAGCGTCGTATATGTGGACATGTGACAATAGAACAGACTCGACGCCCGTCTCCTTGTCTCCTACAGCAGAAATTAATTGTTGAGATTCTTCCTTAACGACATTAGCTGCCTCTGAGTGATCTGTCACATGCTTGGACTCTTCCGTGACATGTTCCAAAGTTTCAACATGAGTATTCACATCAACCATGATGGTTGTCACGGATACATCAGCTTCCACCTGCGTCTCATTCTGCATCTCATCATGAGAGGGTTCAGGGTCAGGCACCGGCTGCTCTGAAGCCTGCGAATTGGCGGAAAATTGCGCAAGGTGGTCGATGTATTCTTTGAAGCTCTCTTGCTCGTCTGAATGTCCGTCGAGCGACTGCGTGCTTGAGGCTTGGCCTAGATGGGGACGGGTAGAATCGATCGGATTTGCCAGATGGTGCCGATTGTGCCTGAATGGTGATTGTGATTCAGGATAAGTGCCAGGGGATTGGTTTGAGGTGGTTGATACTGCAGTCCCATCCTGCGGAATTTCTTCAGCTACACCTTGCGCCGCATCCTGCGGTATAGACGTGTTTTGTGTATTTTGCCAGCCATCCAGCCTGAGAGGGGGTGAAAAGCCCACAGCGGCTGTCGGAGAAATCTGAAGAAATCGTTCAAGAACATCCAGCGGACTCCTGGGGTATTCAGCTGGGGGCGAGGCCGCAAGTGAAGGGTTTGTTCTTCGCGTATCAATGGGAGCGCCATAGAGATCATCATCCTCGACCTCGATGGCTCGAGAGGGGTTCTGGGATACAGTGTGAGAAATTAACTGATCTTGCGAAAGAAGGAGCTCGCGATCAATGCTAGATTCCAGTGACGAAAGCCACTGGGGTGCCTCATATGCAGCTTTCTTTGCGCTCTCCCGATCCTCAGCCGCTTCCTGAGAATCTCGGGACACCAGCATCGTGTCTGCAAGCGCGTCACCAGTAGCCTCGTGGGCTTTAACTGCATCCTCCGACCCCAACTTACCCGATACGTCACCCGAAGGCTCATCGAAATGTAGTGATGTATGATCTTGATTGTCTGCGGTGTTCGTGACTGGGACAGCTTGCTCCTCTTCCTTCTCGCTCGAAGCGTCTAATTGTGACATGATCGTGTATGCCGGCGGAAAATAGCCGACTTCGACTCCTGCACGATGAACTAACGGAGAAACAAGAGGCAGACCAGGAGACGGTATAGGCAACAGCCGTGGTGTTGTCGCGGCCTCTGAGCCGTCGTTGTTGTCGAAGGCATCTATGCTATTCATCGCCGGCTGAACAAGTGGAGGCACCCTGCGTGATGTTTGGGGCGGACCCATCACCTGCGGAGGAGACGCACCAGAAACAGATATCGATTCGGAAGAGCGAACTGGGCTTGAGGTACCGCTCATGTTCTCTTTGGTTACTTGAACCATGGTGGGTTGGGGGACGACCTCTTTCGAGACATCGACAGCGGTCTGTGCTTCGGTGTGATTCACCTCACCAACGGCAGCTGGTTCTGCGGCTGGTGCAACCTCGTCATTCTGGGAGCGCTGGACCTCTGCAGCATCCTCATCGTCTAAGCCGCCGTTCCTGTTCTCTTCCAGCGGTGTTTCCGCCTCCAAATCAACAAAACTCCATGCTCCACTGTTTCTTGCGAATTTTGTACGCTTTCTACCGCGGCCCAGCACATAGCCGTCGTCCTCGACTGAGGATTCCAAGGCAGTATCGATGAAGGTTCCCGTAGGATTGATGCCGTTCGATTTTTTGGGTGTCAAGTATGGAATGCGGATTGTACTGGAGTCTGAAAGTATAGCGTTCAACTTAGGTCGGATGTGATCTTCCCTCTCAATATTGATAGAAGCCCCATTCGTAGTTGGAACATCTGCCTCTGTTCCAGTAAAATCCACTGTGGTAACGTCTCGGTCACCTCGAAGCACCTCCAGGAGGACGCATGTGTTATATTCCAGATCCCAGTCTATTTTCTTGCCCGGTGTCGAAACAACATCACCAGTCTCTTTCCACTCACAACCAGCCAATGCAAGCTTGACGGTGTCCCCAATTCCCACTTTTGTCTTTGCAACCTCCCCTGCACACCCATTGTGGAATACGACCTTAGCCTGGCCTTTAGATTTCCGCCGGCGAATGTCAGGGTCGGCTAACAGCAGGGCGAGTGTTCCTGTTGAGCTAGAGTAGGGCCATACAAGAGCGACCTGTGCGAGAATGTGAGCATCGGGATCTCTTCGCGAAGGAGAGAGGTCGGCAATGGGAAGTTGAGCCGCTGCATCGAGTTTGGCTCTGGCTGTGCGCGCAGTGGGCTGTGGCTCTGGCACTGTGGTCATGATAGCGGCCAAAGAAAAGACTGAAATAGGACAGCCATAACTTGCACGACGGCCAAAGCGGAGCCGGAGCAGTGAGAAACTAGCCTTAAAAGCTGGGACGGTGTTTCAGTAAAGAAATGTTTGGTATTCAGTTGGATGTAGGTGCGGAGCAACAGTTGCCAGACGATTTTGCCGCCAGTGGACGCGATGCGGCGGGATGGAGAGAGATTGCCGAAACGCGTTTCACACGGCACTCAGATCATGAGGCTCACCACCTCACCTCTCATTCACCCCTCTGAGATTCCGTTTCACACTTGTCGGGTGGTTTCCATCTCGACTGGCTCAACACATGACACGCATTGAAACTACAAAGCTTCTGTCTCCAACGATCACCTACCATTGACGGCACCCTACTTGGGCTGGAGCACGAGTACTAAGAATGGCCAGACAGCCCCGTCAATGTCTTCGGGTTGGCAGATTCCAGTCTCGGAAAGCTGGATTCCAAAGGGACCACATTCTCAACTATAGCATTCCTTGAAGGCCAAAGGTACCGGCAGTAAAAAATGAAGGAGGTTTCCCAGCCGCCCCCTTCCATTGTGAATGCCATTTCGGGGAATGTTTAATTCATATCACTCGGTGTCAATTGATCTTCTTTCACTGCGCTTTCGTGCCTTGACAGGTCCTGTTTGCAAGCCTCTCCTTCATTCTCCATCCGTTGCCAACTTGGTCTTCTTTCCTTCCTGCTCGTCTTCTTACTGAACGCTCGTTGATTGATTCACGGCTTATAAACTTCCCTCCCACACTTTCCGCTGCCAGTTCAGCAACCAAAGAACCCTTCATTTCGACAAACAATCTTTTTCAATCGTAAGACGTTGCCATCGGGATGGCGCGCGTTTCCCTAGTCATGCTGCTGGTCAGCATTGTTCTCAAACCCACCTTGGCCGTGTACCAGTTGGTCCAAGACTACTCCGGCGACGCTTTCTGGCAAGGCTTCGACTTCTTCACCGACCCGGATCCGACCGATGGCCTCGTGCAATTCCAATCATTGGAGCAGGCCAATTCAACGGGGATAGCGGGATTTATAGAAGGAGGCAATGCATCTTTTGCCATCTATATGGGCGTGGACACTGAAAATGTCGCTCCGCAGGGTCGGGCCAGTGTACGCGTCTCATCAACACAGTCTTTTCAACATGCTTTGGTTATTGCCGATATTGTTCACATGCCTGGTGGCGTCTGCGGTACCTGGCCTGCGTTTTGGATGCTGGGCGCGGACTGGCCACACAATGGAGAGATCGACATCGTCGAGGGAGTCAATGATCAACCTACGAACTCGATGACTTTGCATACCGGACAAGGCGCCGTGGTCAGCAATGACACCGAATTCTCTGGTGAATTGATCACACCCAACTGCGACGTCAATGCGCCTGACCAGCCAATGAACGCGGGATGTTCGATTGGCGACATATCCAACTTGACCTTTGGGCCTGAATTCAACGAAGCCGGGGGAGGTGTGTTTGCAACCGAGTGGACAGCTGATTTCATCAAGATATGGTTCTTCCCACGAGGTACTTTTCCCGACGACATTGTCAGCAGTCATCCGGCCCCGTCCGAAAACTGGGGTACCCCAAACTCGCTGTTCCAAGGATCATTCAACATTGACGACCATTTCAAGAATCTCCAGATTGTATTCGACACCACATTCTGCGGACAGGTAAGTAATGCTTGTCCCTTTGGCCCCATGACACTCGCACTAATTCAATTCTCTGTAGTGGGCTGGAGCTGTCTGGAACACATCTTCTTGCGCATCTCTGGCGCCAACCTGCGAAGACTACGTCGCCAATAACCCGGCAGACTTTGCCGATGCTTTTTGGGCGATCAACACCCTGCAGGTCTTTCAGGATGATGGTTCAGAGGCTAGTAACGTAACGGCGAATTCGGGGGCAGCAAAACGCGGAGCTACCAGGAGGGAACCTGGGCGGCAAGGAAGCCTTGAATCAAGATCGGGGAAGAAAGTGCTCCCAATCTATTCGTGAGATAATTGGACATGAGTTTTGCGATTAGCAACGGCGTTGGTGGTCATGTACCAAAAGCTGGGATTGTGGGCGCGATTGATTACAATGTCACAACATGATTCGAAAGCAGACCAAGTCTGGACAAAGTACGGACTAACATGAACACGAGTTACCTATGGGAAAGCTTGTGAGGCTTGGACAATGAATGTCGATCTCGGCGAACGGCCACACGAGGAGGAGGCCTTGCACCTTTGGTGGATGACGATATGTTTTTACCATGGTAACCCCTGCTCGAGGCGGGGTCGTGTGACAGAAACAACATGGGATTTCTGAGGTTGCAATTTACATGATCATGATTGCGGTTCGTCAACCCTGGCTGCTGGAGATATTCCGTAGCAGTGCGGTAGTAGTGCTTTTTACCGTGTGCCTCGCATATTGAAGCTGACTCACATTGCGCAATTGGCGCGGTGGTGCCCACTATAAAAAGCTTGGCGTCCACCAAGAAAACAGATCATTGCCGATGGCCGAGCAGATCACTACTTGTTTCTTCCCAAACTCCGCTCACTGATTATTTTGCACGGCTGGACGTCTGATAGCAGAGACTGTGCCTGAGCGGCCAGCCATCGACGTCATCTCAGCGGCGAGGTCACCAATAACACCATCATGACCATCGGCCGCCATCATGGACTTTACCGGCGGACAGAGAGATCGACACTGAGTCCCATCATGCTGTCGCGCAGCCTGCTCCAGCCTTCCCACTCGCGCCACACAAAATGTAAAAGGGATTTTCGCCTCCAATCTCCGTTCTAACTTCCGCCATTCTAGCCTCGTTTTGAGCACATGGCCTTCATCCTACGACAGGAAAGAGCATGGGAGACACAAATGAATGAAACCACAGGGCGGATGGCAAAAGAAACGCTCCTCTCCCTTGAGGAACCTCCCCACCCTCCTGACTAGTCTAGGATCTCTGGAAAGCTGACCATGATTGTGCCTTCGTCATTATGCAGAGATCTGAGTTTTCATTCGAACCGCCATCCTCCGGCTCCACTCCGAAGCTGGCAGATGGATACTGTTGATATCATAGCTCGTTACATTTTCACTGTTCAGGACCGAGATGCCCTGGTGGTGGCATTGCCCCGTGACTATCCATGAGGCACAGGGTTGTATATACTCACTCCATTCCCCCAGATTTTCCCTTGCAGCTGCTGACGCGACATTGCGACAAAGTATTCATCCTTCCATTTTCATGTGTTTGTAGGTAAACAAGAGTCTACTGGTTGGATTATGGCGGCCCGCGACCGCCATCCGCAGTTCAATATCCCCTTTGAAGAGTCTGCAACCTCACCCAACGCCAAAGAGGAAACTGGAGAATGGGAGAAAGCATCTACCGTGCAGCCAGATGATGATGGCCGCCAACAAGCGGAGCACGTCGGCAGCACATTAGCTGAACAGAAGGCCGAAAAGGACACTGAAGACGAACCCGAGCCAGAAACGTTTGACAAGATCGAAATAACCGAAGAGGACTGCTACAGCGAACTAGGTTACGCCTTTCCCGAATGGAAGAAATGGACAATCCTGACCGTCATTTTCCTGGTTCAGCTGTCTATGAATTTCAACACTAGCCTGTACTCCAACGGTCTCAAAGGCATTTCGGAAGAATTCAATGTCAGTGAGCAAGCCGCACGATGTGGTGCCATGATATTCTTGGTGCTGTATGCGTTTGGTTGCGAGTTGTGGGCACCGTGGAGCGAGGAACTTGGCCGTTGGCCTATCCTTCAGCTGTCACTGACTCTGGTCAATATCTGGCAACTACCTGTCGCCCTGGCCCCTAATTTCGCGTCCATCATGGTGGGAAGAGCCCTCGGCGGGCTCAGTTCTGCTGGAGGTTCAGTGACTCTAGGAATGATCGGTTAGTTTTGCACGCCCAACCTGTTGTTTCACTCGCTAACTATTTATCAGCCGATATGTGGGATTCTGATAACCAGCAATACGCTGTCGCTTACGTGGTCTTCTCATCAGTCTTTGGTTCCGTCCTTGGACCCATCGTTGGTGGATTCGTTGAACAATATGTCAGCAGCTGGAGGTGGACGATCTGGATCCAGCTCATTTTTGGCGGCTTTGTTCAGGCGTGCCATTTCTTCGTCCCAGAGACGCGTTCGACCATCATCATGGATCGAGTTGCAAAGAGACGGCGCAAAGCCACCGGTGAAAACATCTGGGGCCCGAACGAACTTGAACCATTCAGAGATCGCTTCTCAGTTAGAGAAATCCTCATTACCTGGATCCGGCCGTTCAAGATGTTCCTTACAGAGCCCATCGTTCTCACCTTGTCACTTCTCAGTGGTTTTAGCGACGCGCTCATCTTCATGTTCATCCAGTCTTTCTCCCTGGTGTACGCGCAATGGAACTTTGCGATTTTTGCCGTTGGCCTGGCGTTTCTGCCCCTGGGCATCGGGTACATTATCGCGTGGATCTCGTTCATTCCAGCCATTAAGCGCAACATCAACGAGAGGAAGTCAAAGCCTGGCAACGAGAAAGCTCAGTATGAATCCCGGCTCTGGTGGTTACTCTGGACAGCTCCTTGCCTACCGATTGGCTTGTTTGGATTTGCTTGGACAATTCAAGGACCTCCAATTCACTGGATCGGCTCCATGATCTTCGCCGCTCTAGTAGGTCTGGCAAATTATGCCATTTACATGGCTACTATCGACTATATGATCTGCGCCTACGGTCCATACTCCGCGTCTGCCACCGGTGGTAATGGCTGGTCAAGAGATTTTCTTGCAGGAGTCCTTACTATTCCGGCAACCCCATTCTTCACAAGTAAGTTGACTGTGGCCTTAGTGGAAGATGCAGAAACTAACGTCAACCCCACAGATATTGGAGGTCGTCGCCATCTCAACTATGCTTGCACCATTCTCGCCTGCATTGCCACCCTCCTTGTCCTTGCCGTGTACGTCATCTACTATTACGGCCCTACCCTTCGGAAGAGGTCACCTTTCGCGCAGTCCCTAGCAGATGCGCGTGCCGATAATGACGGTCGCCGTCTCTCGTACCTGCCGTCAGCGTCTGGGACGTCGGGGTCCAGAAGGCTTTCAAGGACGAACACAAACGCATCGAGAGAAGTGAATTCAAGGAGGACAAGTCAAGCTGAGTTTGTTAGGAGGCAGAGTATGCCAAGAATGGGAAGCGGAATGATAAGATAAAAGGTTGAGGTGCAATGTTGCTACCATTTTTTGTTCTTGAATTGTCGTCCTTGAAGGGCTGGAAAGTTGTTACCTGTTTGGGCGTCATCCTTTGGGCATTCTGCAATACGATGGTCTTAAAAGCTTGGGATCCTTGACCTGGTTTTCATGTCCCTTAAGAAGTATTCATACCTAGGGTGTTAGTCATGGAGTGTTAGAGCAGGAGACATGTCAATCAAAACATATAGCGGAAGACTAGTAGGAAATGAAGTCTGGAGTGGCACTATCATGGTTGGGTTCTGACATTTGGTGATGATCTCTTTCAGTCTCGGTATTGGTGCGGCTTAGTACTATATAGCCCAATATGTGAAAGTAACTTGATCGGCTCATAGAAGTGAGGAGTAGAGTATACTTATTTACTAGCCTTTACCTACCCGGGTACTTTGTATACTCGATATAGCGGGGATGAAGTATTTATCTGTAGGTCACGTGTAGCGGTCTGGACCAACCGTGACTGACGTACTTGCATGTGCGGAATTTTTAAGCGCACAAGGATAGTCGAGCGCCTCAACATGCCACTGTGAATGACTTTTTGTACCAGAAACCACGGAAATTCTACCAGCACTTCCAACATGACTGTTCCCTCTCCAGTACCCCAGGAAACTGAGAAGAAACCCGTTCACACCATAATCCTAGACGCTTCGCCCCTCCTGCTCAACACACCTGGAATTTCTACGCTCCTCGCCCACGGCCACGTCCTGGTGACCACGCCGTCCGTCCTCGCCGAGATCAAAGCCGAAGAAGCAAGGAACCGAGTCGACACACTCTACAAACCCTTCCTGACCGTACGGACGCCGGGTCCCGAGAGTGTCAAGATCGTAAAAGACTTTGCGCGCAAAACCGGCGACGGGGCCGTGCTAAGTCATACCGATTACGAGGTTTTGGCATTGGCGTACGAGATTGAGTGTGAGAGAAATGGAGGCAACTGGAGGTTGAGGACGACCCCGGGGCAAAAGAGGCTAAATGGCGCACCACCTACGCAAACTGCGGTAAAGCAAGAGGACGGTCAAGATCAGACTACGGATACGGAAAATGTCGCAGAGGACGTGCGAGATGGACTAGACACAGGGCTTGATTCTATTGAGGAGAAGGTGGATAGTCTGGGCCTTGAGGAGGCAGCTGATCAAAGAAATGACGAAGCAGGCGAAACCCTCGAGGTCAGCGACGAACCCACCGAGGCAACTACACAACTTTCAGAGCACTCGCCGAAGACAGTACCTTCACAACCAATAGAGACCGAAGGCTCAGATTCAGACGAAGGATGGATCACCCCTTCCAACATCAAACGTCGACAAGCCCAAGACGAGTCCGCTAGCGGCATTGCGTCAAAATCCTCGCCCAAACATCTCCAGGTGGCTACCATGACGGGCGACTTTGCCTTGCAAAATGTCCTCCTTCAAATGAACCTGAATCTCATCTCCACCAAGTCCTGCCAACGAATCTCCCAAATCAAACAATTCATCCTGCGGTGCCACGCCTGTTTCTCCACTACCAAAGACATGTCTAAGCAATTCTGCCCGCGTTGCGGCAAACCAACGCTAACCAGGGTAACGTGTACGACCAATGATAAAGGGGAAGTGAAGTTGCATCTGAAGCAAAACATGCAATGGAACAACAAAGGCAATGTCTTTTCGGTCCCCAAGCCAACGAGCGGAACCGCAAATCAGAAATGGCAAGGGCCCAGGCACGGAGGTGGAGGCAAAGGTGGATGGGGGAATGAGCTGATTCTGGCAGAAGACCAGAAGGAGTACGTAAGAGCCATGTCGAAGATGAAGAGAGAAACCAGGAGAGAGAAAGACTTGATGGATGAAGATATACTGCCAGGCATCCTGTCAGGGGACAGAGGCCACTCCACAGGAAGGCCGAGGATAGGAGCAGGTCGAACAGTAAACTCAAGAAAGCGGTAAGGCAGTCGAACTCGTCACTGAGCGAGTTGTATTGACTGCACCGCGACATATTGATAAAACCCCAAATAATTTCTGAACATCCTTTTCCACTTCTGCCTTTGCTCAATGACACCGAACTCCATAAACGCCTGGATATTGTCCCATCATTTCTTTTCGTTATCTGCAAACAACGTCAACCGCAGTGATCAAGGAAGTCGAAATCGCACTGACAGGGAACGTACTCTGCTGTGTCAAGAGGAGTCCATATCGCTTCTTCAGAGTTACTCGATGCCTAAAGGTCGCATTAGAACAGCTTTTCACATAGCAAACAGCTTGCATTACCTCGAGTATTTGTCGTCTGGGGAAAACCTTGCAGGATGGGCGGACTTTGTGACAGTGCCATCAAGGACCTTTTTCAACGTGTAGATTCGCTTGCCCGTGATCGGGTCTTCGGTGTACATTAGATGCATCTTGCGTGCAGTATTGTGTCGTCTGTGCCTGGGGTCAAAGACTGCTGTATTCTGATGTAAAATCGCAGAGCCGTGGTTGGGTGCCTTTTTTTTGTGTTGGAGAAATTTCAGACCAAGGCCAGCACTCGCAGGCAAAAATTTCCGTCGCCAAAGATTTCCCCGCGAACTCACCGAAAACTGCAGTAAGTTGACCACCCAAGCTTGATGAGTGAGGCCTTTTCCAGCCCAACCACCATGACTGTATTACGATTTGACAGGAACACTTCCATTTTGAGTGCCTTGCAATGCTCGTCTGGTGCGGTGGGATTGTTCCACTTCTCCGTCCAGGACGACCTGCGATGAACAGTTTCATCTCACCTTGATTCCTCATTTTCCCTTTTACCACACGGCAAACCGGATACAAAGTGAGTATGTCCCATCCCTCGATCACACCACGTAACATTCTCCATCTTCCCGACGATGACAACCTCGCTTGCCGAGGAGGTTGCACTTTGATTTCAGCTTCTCTCCGATGTGGGCTTCGTGTATTAGACTACAACGGTATCTGAGGGATTGAATTTTGACTTCCAGCTTTGAATCTGTACTGTGAGACATGTGAAAATTCCACGAGGCTGACATTGAACAAGGAATCCATCATGGCCTCAGCTTCCACACCTCTGGTAAGTGTCGAGGCTTCGTCAACGAAACCACCTTCCTCGAAGCCTCCCAGGCGCCCAAAGAGACCGAACTACAATCAAATTCATCGCAATCTTCTACCCATCGAAGTCCATCCACTCCCTGTTTTGATCCCCCACAACCCGTTGTCATTAGTTGCGATTGCCCTCTCGTACCTCGTTCAGGTCCTTTCGCCCCCCGTCCGTCCGACATACAATGGCTACTTCTCTTCCGCAACGTCGTCCATCCATGTCACTGACCCTGACACGATTCGTAAGCTCTGGGAGATGGGTTTTTTTGGAAGAGGCAGTCTCAGCCGAAGTGAGCCGAATTGGGTAGAGAATATACAGAAGAAAGGACGGACAGCGGAAGAGAACACGGCCTCTCGGAGGGAACAGAGGAGGTTGCAGAAACAAGAACGGGCACGGAAGGAGCAAGAAGACATTGATCAAAAGTTATCAGAAGAGTCACAGCAATACGGCAATACCACTGGTCAGCTGGACGTGAGACCTGCTTTGGAACCCGCGCAATCGTCAGAGCAGAACGGCGACGTCAATGCCAATATAAGCCATGCATCCGACAAATCAAAATTGAGTCAGCTGCCGGGGAATGGTAGTTTAAACGGTCACATTGACAGCGCTTTGACAGAAAATGTCCTCAAAACAAATGCTCAGAACATCTCCGACATTGGCAGTGTGTTAGAATCAGCAAGTGGGACTGCGACACCTGACGTGGAAGAAGAGAAGGGAAACAGCTCAATTAACGGATTCGAGGAGTGGAAGAAGGCAATCGAGGCCAATGGCATCCCGACGCCGCCGCCCACGTCGACTTGTTCAGATACTAGTCAAGCCGAAGGTCGGCCAGTGAAAAGATTACAAAGGACGAAGACAGTTCGATTCTCTCCCACCATCGAAGCCCGAGAATTTGACCTGAGCTCTCCTGTGATTTCACCAATCAAAAATCCCGGTACGTCTCCGCTCGAAGACGCAAAACCGGAAGATAAAAAGCCCGTTCAACAGCAAACCCAAGAACATCTGAACATTTCACTTGAAGAGGCATTTTTCCTCTCATACGCCCTTGGAGTCCTCGATATCTACTGCGATGACAGCAATACTATCCTTCCCCCTTCTTCTCTACTGTCCCTCTTCCGACGACACTCATATCACCCTCCCCGATCACTCTCCGTTCCAGCGGAACCGGATGACCCCTTTATGATCTCCTACGCAGTATACCATCACTACCGCTCCCTCGGCTGGGTTGTTCGGAGTGGTGTCAAATTTTCGACCGACTATCTCTTGTATAACCGTGGGCCCGCATTTTCACACGCCGAGTTTGCAATTGTCATCATCCCTTCGTACACTAATCCGTACTGGACGAGCTCTAGAACGCCCGACCAGCAGAAAGCAAACGAAAGGAAAACAAACAAAAGGAATTGGTGGTGGTTGCACGGGATCAATCGAGTTCAGGCACAGGTCCACAAGCAGCTGGTACTCTGCTATGTGGACGTTCCACCCCCGTTGAGAGATGCAGAGAAACGGAAGGATGTCGATATAGGCATGTTGTTCTCAAGGTACAAGATTCGAGATATCAATGTGAGGAGGTGGACACCGAACCGCAGTCGAGATTGAGATTTCTGACTAGCAAGAACAATCTTGTTTTTTTCTCTTTTTACGAAAGCTCAACGCGTGAACACGGAGTCACGAATTGGGGGATACCAAAACGCGCTGTCAGACGCGAGGCTCGAGATGCATATCTGACTTCTTAGATACCCAAAAGATACCTTCACCACGGACGGAATGGCACTACTTCTATACAGAACGTGTTTTACTACTCTACAATGTACGGACTATAGACTTTTTTATCTGGATACAACTTGTGACTCTTCCCCTATCAATCTCTTTCCACATACAACGAATGCCAAACGGCTTGGATTAAGGAAGTACATGAGTCTCCCACTATGTAATCTCATGTCGTCGCCATTGTTGCTGGCAGGCTAACTCGCAGTGGGTGCAGTTGAACCAGTGTGGTTGAATAGTCGCCACATTAGGCTTAGCTCGGAATTAGCTTGAGACCAATGTGCTACTCTAGACGAACCTCTTCCTCTTACATAGTCTATCGACCGCCAAACTGTTACCCTCGGCCTTATGACGAGCACTTCTTGATCTCCTGTACTGCCTAGATCGACAGATATTCTCTTTTGACCAATTATTCAGATTGGCTGCTGCAACATGAACAACTCTGGCTGCGGCACATCCTCGGCCTTTGCCTGCATCGCCCTAAGGAAAAAGGCAGGTGATATGGACCGGTTCAGTTCTACTGGACATGGTGACGATATCACAACGCCATCCAATGGCAAAAAGTGGCGAAGTGCAGGACTGGGCACGCTAATACCTGCAGACCGCCCTGGTCTGTACTTGATCAGGCGCATTTCGAACTTCAGCCTCACACCCTCTCTGGACCAGCTTTGACCTTTATTTACACGGTGTGAGCCCTCAAAGTCGGGAGCTACGCGCCGAAAGATGAATTCACATTGACAGAGGTTTGTCCTTCATCTGTATGAGTATACAGCAAGTTGTTCGAAGCACCGGAGTTGACGAGTCAGGCTGAAACTGCTCAGATGGTAAGGCTTGCCAACTGTGTTACTTTCCTTCCACTCTCCCCAGCTCCAGCGCCTATTTCCCCCGCAATTTCCCTATAGCCAGGGGTTCCTTTTTGTCTCAATGCAAGAGACTCTCTTGAGTCTGTCTACTTGTCAAAGTGTCTGAATGTCTGGATTCACTGATTGTCAGAGAGAGGAAAGATCGATCACTAGCACCATCCACACCCATTCCCAATGCCAGAAACATCTTCGCGTCGGTCTCGCGCCGCCCTTTATCTGAACACTGATGAAGATGCTGCGGTCGTGCTGCTCCGGGCTGCTCGTACCGAAGCCAACGCCTCAGAGTCAGCATTTCGAGCTCCCCGTGACAGTGAACTTTCCGCCATGCTGCTCTTTGAGGAGCACGCATCGCAGTGTGAGAGGTGTAAAGACCCCTATGGAACGTTTGAACGCAATGACGTCCTGTGTGACATCGGAACCGGCTACGCAATAAGCGTTGCAAACCTCCTCTATACTCAGGGGAGAAGACTCTTCCCTACAATCGATCACAAGAAAGGAAACAACGTCCAAGTCAAGGTTCCCACTGGGATGTACTCGGTCAACTTGCTCTTCAAGGCTATAGGTGAAGGAATGAAACTCGTGTCAACGCGAGCTACGTTGTATGGACATGGAACACCATACGTCGAGAAGACAGGCAAGGCTGACCCGTCGGAAAATCCAATCTCGTGGGCACAGCCCGGCAGACACCACGGCCCTCTGTTCGATGATAACGTGGTCGAAATACAACCTCATGACCCTCGAGCAGACACGAGAAACACATCATACAAAGATGACATGAAGCAACCTGAGACATCTTCCGCCGGCTTTGATCGACCAGATCAGAGAGAGCGACTATATACTCGAGGGATCGATCGAGATATCGCGTGTCTTTCTGGAGCCGATCATCTCAGGAGAACGCACAGAGAATATGCCGAATGGAGAAATCGTGCAGCGCTTGATCGTTCTGGGGCCAAACCCCCTTCTATACATCGACCCTCTGATATTCTATTCACAAACCAGGAGAGCACCAGAAGGCCCAAAACAGACCAGCTGCGGGAGCCCGTGGCTTTTGAGAGTAGTATATTCGAACCCGATCCTTTTGAACAAGATGACGACCCATATGGCGGATCGCCAGTCTTCTATTTTGGAAACCATGACCGATCGTCGAGCCACTTTCCCATACCGCGAATCATTTGTGCGACTCCTACCTCCTCATACTCAAGAAGCATAAACGAATCCGATATCGATGAAGCTGAATACCCATATAATCTATCGCCAGGACACTGTGAACGATCATCAACCGACCTGACCGCAGAAGCCCTGCGCAATCTGCAACAACAACTTAACGATCGTCCATATGCGACCACAAATAACTCTAGAGATCCTTCATCTGTAGGATCTCCCGATCTGTCTTCGACTTCAGAAGGTCGTCAAACCACTCTTCCGGGCGGATTGTCATTCACTTTCCCTGCCGACTCTGCAGGTGAAGATAGAGGTCTTCTGAGCGACTTGGAATTATATTCACTTCAGATACTGAATAATAGGCAGTCGGCTATGGAGAGGGGAACGACGAGCAATCCTTATACCGTTAGAATGAATGAGAATATGAAGAGCACTGCTACTTTTTCGGATTCTGGCTATGCCAGTGGGCGTGTCGAACAACCAGCCGAGGCGCCACCACAGACACAATATACATTGTCAGTGGCAGATGCTTTAGCCCCTGCGAACGATCCTATGGATGCCAAACGATTTGAGGCATCTCGAGAACTCTCCAAAATCACGGCTACTAACTTTGACGACATTATATCGGTAATCTCTGACGAAGATGATATTCATTCTCGAGCAGAAAGTCACAAATCCCGTCAAGTACTAGCTGCAGAGGACCAGATCCTGGCATTTTTTGCCCACCACAACGAGATTTTCCCCTTGTGTTCTGAACTGCTTCCACAAATGGGTCGACATCGATTTGTCAACAATTTCCGAAGGCTGCTCAAACCATACTATAAAGCTCAGCTCGGTTTAGCTAACATAAACATCGAAAAATCGACTACCTTCCTTCTCCGGAGCCGTTTTCTACGCGAACGTATCGCCAAATCTATCGCCGATAGGTTGGATCCTGAGGAGGAGATTCGACTCGAGGCTGAGAAGCACTTAGGGGACATCCAAGATCATACAGGAATGGTGCAACAATGGTTGGAGACACAAAAGGCATTTGCACTGAAGGACGACGTTGAGCATAATGAAGATGATCAGGTTGCGAGCCTTTCAGAGGATGACGATGACGACGATGAACACGACGACAGGTTTGAGGACGCCAACGTCAACGAGTACCATCACTTTCCACATATTGACAAAATGAAGAAGTTTCTCGAGAGCAGCGCTGGTTTTCGAAAGCTCCTCATAGATCTCAACATGCTACTCCTTCCCCAGCAGTATCGCTCAATTGCTCACTCACTTTTGGCTATTCCAACCGACTCCATCAAGGTGGCCGCAAGTTGCAATACAACAGTGTTGAACGCTCTCAAGATTAGAGTGGAAGAAGCCACCATGACTGAATGGAATTGGTGGCCATTGGAACCGAGTGTCCGCCCTCCTCTTCCTGGCTTTACGAGGCTTTCTTGGAAATGTGTAAGTCACTACTTGCTGTGTCGGATCTGCTATATCCGGTGTGTGGGGGATTTGGTGATCTTCAAGACTGTTCTCAATGTCATGGATGGTCAGAAACATTCTCCACCATTGTTTGCGCCGTATATTGCAGACCATTTGAGAATAGAACCGACGGGTGGGCCATTGAACTGACAGCCTGCAGTACTGCAATAGGAGCCTTTGGCACGACATACCTGAAGCTTACATCGCCAATTTCAACAATCTTCTCACTCTGAAGCGTCAGGATATATTTGGTTCGTCTATATGCGCCAGGGCTTTCTCGGCACAGGGCATTGGGCAACACGCAAAGAGAATGATCCCAGCGATCCACAGTCCCCCGCTCAAGACTTCACCATCCTCATCTGACACTTCCAGCAGTGTCAGACCGTCAGACGGGGGCTCGAGTACTAGCATACCGACATCTCCTGGCCAGTCGTCCTCGTCCTCGGCCTCTCAGTCACCCTCAAGACCATCCATCAGCAGCGGGCATACCACGAGCAGCGCCACAAGTATGACCAGCGTCATGAACTCCGTCAACATTCCCTCGCGTGATCGGTTTATTGTCTTTGGAGTCCACGGCAAACGGCGAACTCTCGACATAGTGCATATTAACACCACCAAGGATAACGATGACGTGAAGTTTTTGGACACACTTCTCACTTCTTATCGAGCTCTCAGGGGTCGAATGCGGCTCTGGTTCTCGATTTGGCAGCTGCACCACTGCGAATTTGTGAAGGTAGGTTTCACTTCTCAGGATTATATCCAATGTCTAGATCAGGCTATGTCTAACTGTCAATACGAACATGTCACAGTTCCAAAAGGTTCTGCCAGATCGTGTCGTGTCCGCCGGGCCTGATCTGCCCTCTTGTCCGATTGACTACAGCTACGACCCACGGCCTCCAGATCCACGGGCCCCCGCTCTTGACAAGCACGTGTGGGAGCTTGCTCTCCTTCGACCCTGCAGGGGCGCTACACTCGGCGTCAACCTCCAATTCTGTCTTTTGTCGTGGCTCCACGACTGCCTCCCCCCTCTTGGTGCCGGCTCAAATATTTACCTCCCCACGATCCCACAAAAACATAGCGAATGGCTCCTCAAAACACCCGGCATCGACTATGCCTGGGGCATCAAGGCGGTTGAGGAGCCGTACATCATCATCCTGATCATGTATCACGTCCTCATGCTTGCCGCCCCGTTCGGCTTCTGGGCCTGGTGGCTGGTGTTCGAGCACGCCCGGACTGGTCAGTGGGATCTGCAGGATGCCTCGATCCCCGTGTCCGTTTTTCTGGTCCTCTTGTCGCTCTTCTGGGCTGCCGCGAAGCCGTTGAAAGTGTTTGACACAAGATGAAAATCAAACATCTGACGAGGACACGGACTTGTCGTGTTGGGTGGTTGGAACCATGTACAACATCACTGTTTGACCGAGTGTGATGAAGTATATGTGTTCCTGTTCAGCTCTCCCTGCCCGACCATGACTACACTCTCACCTCACGTCTCTCACAACGCCCAAGCCTCTGGATCAAAGGGCGTCAAGTCCTCCTCCACCAGTCCCATGACGTACCGATTCCCCGAGAACCAATCTCCCAGCGCAGCCGGGTTGTTCGCCACTGGTATACCTGGGCCACCACTATCACCAGGATCGCTTCCTTCGACCGCATAATCCCCGCCCGCGTTGTGCGGCTGGGCAATGAACCCCAGCTGGGAGAGGTACAGGTCAAAGTCGTTGCCGAGCATGGTCGTGTCCTGGTGGTCGTCGCGCAGATTCTGGTGCTGGGTTTCGCGCTGACGCGCCTTGGCCTCGACGTACAGGGCGGCGATTTGGGACAGCACTTTGCAGAGGCGATGTAGTTTCTCGATGCCGGGCGACATGGACAGCACGGGCTGCAGGCTCGTGGTGAATTGCTCGAGGCGGTGGAGGTCGTCGGCCCCGGATGACGTCTCGATGATGTGGCAGAAGAGGACGATCAAAGGGGTGAAAGGGGCGTAGAGGATCGTCCTGGAGTCACGGGATGATCGATCAATCAACGAGTTATTTGTTGGTGGGCGGTCTTCGCTCAAAAAAGAAAAGGGGGCGGGGCCAAGAAAAAGAACAACGCGGCCTTACTTACCAGTGCAGATACCCGGCCTGTACGAACGGATTGTCCGAGGCATGTTTCATGCATTCGTCGTGACATTTGATTGCCGCTCTGGCCGCTTCGATGCATTCCGTGTTGAATGTGCTGGGAAAGCCCGGTTCACCTGGAATCGCGCGATAGACGAGGGTCAGAGAAGCCAGGTGGCTCACCTCTGCCGACTTGAGGAGCATGTCCAGCGACATGTGCCCCTCTTTGGCCCCGTCGTCCGATACATCTCCGTCTACGGTGCTGTTGCCCTGGTCAAACATCGTCGACAGGTCCACCAACTCTCTCCACACCTGTTTAATCTTTGCCACCAGGAGGCGCGCAGTCTCAATTCGTTGGCCCGGCTGCAGAGCCAGAGCCGCGGGGCTGTAGAGGTGCTGGTACGTCTCGCCCGGGGCACTTCCGGTCTTGATCCACAGATTGATGGCCTCGGTCCATGGCCCCGTTCGAGCGCCGGTATGAAAGCGGCGGGGCGTGGAGATGTCCCAGTCTTGCATGACAGAAGCGCGGCCAAAGCGCAGCGAGAGGCCCTTGTCCATCATGTAGCAGAACCAGAACAAGGCCAAGTTTGGGTTATCTGTCTCATTGTCCACGTCCCGGAGACGATGCCAGCCGAGTGTCTGGCAAATGTTGGCTGCGGCACTGTTCAGCTGCCACCCAAGCGAAAATTTCGAGACCTCGATCGAGTAGGTGACCTATTCCGCGGGTCAGAATAGTGAAGGTGGAAGAAAAGGGATCAAAGCATCGGGTTGACCGGTACTTACACCGAGCAGGAGTGCTTCGATTATCTCCTTGTTGCACGGCAGCAGGAGCGGCAAGTTGGCCAAGGCTGTCTCCAAGTTATCTCTGCACAGGTGGTGGTATTCGCGGTACTGTTGACTGTTGGGTTCGTGTGTGAATGACTTTTCTTGGAACAGGTAGTAGAGGCCGGCATTGGCGATGATGAAGACGGCGGAACTGTAGTCTTCGGTTGGGAAGAATACTTTCCGACAGGACTCAATGAAGGAATCAACCGTGATGAAGGAACAGTTGATCGCGAAGATCAGGGGCGGTTTGGCTGTTTCCCGTTAGGTCTGTCATACGCGAAAGATTGCCATCGAGTCTTGTTCACTAACCTTTGATCTCGCGCAATAACCTCAGCACAACATCTGTTGGCGGCAAGGGGAGTTGACTGAGGCCGCCCCTAGGTATTGGCTTCTGGTGGGTAAACGAACTCTCGTGCGAAACATCTTTCCGCCGCTGCATCTGAACCATCCTTCGTAAAGACTCCAATGCGGACTCGATATTCGGACTCAGATGACGGCCGAGAGGGGTATTCGTCACGGCCTTCTCCACGAATTCGCTGGCAAACGCTGTGTGGGCGACCATGGAAGAGCTGCCTTCAAACGTCTGGTCACTCTCTCCAAATGGTGGTCCTCCTGCGTATGCGGGAGCAGACTCGGTTATGCTAGGAGGTGTATAAGTTCGTGCGGGTGTGCTCATGTACCCCGAAGCAGAGCCATCGTCACGACTGAGAGATGTTGTAAGCTTGTGGAGCATCTCCTCGATTCCCCCCAGGCGATTCTCGAATTGGTCGATTTTCCGCTCACTGCATTTGCCATCAGCCCATGTGTTTTTTTTTTCCCAACAAGTAGTCGACAGTGGCACGCCATACTATTGGTGGGAGATCAACACCCTCTGCCTGGCCTGCCGGGGTTTCTGCCCTAGGCCGGCCGAGACACATTCCCTGTTTGCGATCCTGCAGTTGGAACATGGATTTTCCTTGTCACATCGTATCTAGACGCTGGGGTCAGAGTCAAGTCAATGAACTCCAAGCATGTATGGTGATACGACCTTCCTGGCACGACACTGCTCACACTGCCGATCGCAATGTTAGTATACTAAATAAAGTGTCCTGTGAGGGCAACATACAGCTCTTCGAATGACATCAGTTCGGTCTCTACTCGTGTCTTCATGCACCTCAGCCATGCGAGCGGGATTCGGGGTTGGTCGCATATGAGAAGAATGGCCCGTTATGGGATCACAAGTCTAGAAATTGAGCATCCCTTGTGACAGAGTTATAGAGGGAGGCTTTCCTGCATCAACCGGTGGCGATGAGCCAAGTGATGTGTCCGCGGACCCCGAGGCCGAAGGTCGACGGAAAGGGAAACCTCGCCCAGCCTCGCGTGACCCACTTTCCGGATCGAGGGGCGAGGCTGAGGCATCACCCATCCTACACGAATGCGAAAGCGGCACGAAGAGAAAGGATTTTGTTTTCGATTACCTCTACACCTTGATGAGGTGTTACGCTATAAAGTCTATGGGTTTTTTATTTCGTGTCGATGGGTTCTGTCCGGCCCCGATACACAGGCGACAAATCTTCAATCAACCCGTTGTCGTCGACCACTGCCGGTACGCATATCCCCCAGTCCCCGTGCGCTCCATTCCCACCCTGGTGCCCGTGGTCCCATCGTGCTCCTCGAAAAGCTCGTCCGTGTCCTCCACCGGGTCTTTCGCTCTGCCGCCCTCGAACCGATCCGCGACGAGACCGACAATGCTCAGGCGAGCCTGGATTTCCCGGACCTCGCCTCCCGACGTGCGCAGCGCGATGCCCGTCAGGATCAGCCCCAACAGCACGAATGCGAGGTTTGCAGAAAGCAGGCCGAAGAGTGGCGCCATGGGTAGGCGTGTCACGAGGAACGACGTTCGCTCTTGGGCGGCGACGGCCGATGCCCTTTGCACGGACTGTGCGCCGACGGCCAGGGCCGCCTTGCTGTAGGCGAGGGACATTTGGTCCGCCAGGTCTTGGGCGTCTTTCGCCGTGGAGGCGGCGATTGACGCCGCCGTTTGCAGGTTCGACTGCGCCACGTTCACGTAGGCCATGGGAGCGTGCCAGACGTTGGCAACGGAGCTGTTGCTCGGGGTGGTCACGAACCGCGTGATCGTTCCATTGACGGAGTCGTATTCAACGTCGTATACCGTGATGCTACACAGTAACACAAAGGCGATGCCCCCGTGCACCGGCGTGACGAGCTCGGGAATTTCCGTGTTGTTGTCATCATAGGCTGATTGGCCAGGGTTCATGACCAAGGCCGCCAGTCCGTAATAGTAAGGGTTCTGCACCCCTGATATGGTCGTGTTGGATTTCATGGTGTGGTTGGTGAAATACGCGTAGCGCCATCCGTTGGTGGTTCCTTGTAGGTCACCCGCGAAAGCGTCTGAGCACATGAACGGGGTAGATGCGCCGTACAGCGCAATCAGATTACATTTGCTCGAGACGGGTTTGCATTCAGTGCGCATTCCGTAGGTCGTGGCCGTGTAGTCCCGGCCAGCAACGCTGTCGGACGGTGGAACGCCGAGATATGTGTATGTCGGGTCGGGCCCGTTGTTGAAGACGGCGACCGTGTCGGAAATGTTGTTCAGCGTCTTCAAACTCTGATTGGGGTCGACGAGAAAGGTCTGGGTCGCCGCGGGGTTCACGTTGCACGCTCCTCTGATGTCGTATGCAGCTGAGAAAGAATTGTCCGACTGGAGACACGCTGGCTTCAGAGCCATGCTGTAGTTTGTCTCGCTGACCACCGGGTTGATTTGGACAAAGTTGACCGTCGACGTCGTAATATGGAGCCAAGTGTCTGCAAGAAAGACCAAAAAGCTGCGGCGGGTCAGCTCGCCATCCAATATCTGAACGCAGTGGACAGCCCGTACCCCAAGAATGTAGCAAGCACCATGAGAGACGCGCTGCCCGTCAAAAGCCTGGATTGAAATTGTCTTTGATTCTTCCAGCCAGTGAGATACTTGATCCAACTGTACAACGACCCATAGCCGCTATTTGCGAAGAACTTTAGGATCAGTGCAAACTGAAACGGCGTCGGCAGGTCCGGTTGCTGGTGTTGAACATCCTGCCAGTATTGCTTCGAGAGAGGGTACGAGCCCAGAGTCATGAGGAAACCTGCGAGGAGCGGTCCCAAGGTACTTGACCAGGATGCAATGAAGATCAACACGGTGGCACTCAGATCCACATAGTATATGCCGGGCTCGTCGACGATATCATCCGTATGCAGGCCGGAGGTTGCGGCTGGTTCGTGAGTGACGCGATAGTGGTAGACCAGTCCCAGGAGTAACGCGCTGAACGCAAGCATGGGCAGAGTCACAATGGAAAAGCTCAACCATATGTCCGTCCGTCGACCTGTCATGTGCTTTGGAAGCCGGTTCGTCGGCGACTGTGCAGTTTCGCGATCTGCTGTCCGGG